GAGACCAGATATTAGCCATGCAGTGGGAGTTCTTAGCAGGTATATGTCAAATCCAGGGAAAACTCATTGGTAAGCAGTAAAGTGGATTTTGAGGTATCTATTCAAAATGGTTAGAATGAAGAACCAAAAACGGTTTAGTTCCTCTTACATAAGCACTTTTAATTAAGTTCTATAACAGTGCCCTTCTAAGACGATGGAAGAAGGAAGTAATGGAAAAGATTTCAAATGCTTCTAGCAGTTGGAAAGCTGATTATGCCATGGTTTGTACACGTGCCAGATATGCTCACCAGTAGTCGGAGTAGTGAGTCGGTTTCTTTCAAATCTTGGAAAGGAACATTGGACTGCAGTGAAATGGATCTTCGAGGTACAACCAAAGTATGTTTATACTTTGGAGATGAGAAGCGAGTATTAGTCGGTTATACCGATGCAGATATGGCTGGGGATGTTGACTCGAGAAAGTCTACATCAGGATATCTAATCACATTTGCAGGGGGAGCCGTATCGTGGCAGTCAAAATTACTGAAGCGTGCAAAGAGTTGCAATGTAACAATAGAACCAAGACAAAAAAAAAAGATCTGCAGGTGGTGTCTTGTGTCGAAAGTCTTCCCGACAAAAGGAGGTCCGGCGGCGTGTCCCGCAAAGTTGTAGCGGCGTGTCGAAAAGTTTCCCGACAAAAGGGAGGTCCGGCGGCGGTGTCCCGCCAAAAAGTTGTTAGCGGCTGGTTTACAAGATGGTGTGGCCAGATCTAATAGATTTTAGCTTGTGGTTGTGTGCCCACTCAAGTGGGACCCACGAACTAAAGTTAACAACGAAGGAAGTAAAGTTGGCTGCAAAACGTGTTATGTGTGAAAGTAAAAAAGAAATAGGAGCAGCCAGTTCAACAGTGATGGCTTTGAATTGGTGTACATAGGCGGTGACTTGATTAAGTTGTATACGGCTCATTAAACGCGTTAACCTGCCTATAAATAGAGGCAGAGGCAGAGCACACAATATACACAGAAGAAAGAAGAGAAAAAATGTAGCGAGAGAGTTTTCTAGTTTTAGGATGAGTTTCCTAAAATTAGGGGTGAGAAAAATAGTGAGGTTTGGAGTGTTTTTGGGGAAACAAACTGTGGAGTGCCACTATTTTTTATATTACTCTCTGTGTTACCTACTCATTGTTAATAGTAGAAGAATTGATTCGGAGTTTGTCCCGTGGACGTAGCACTAAACAGTTGAGGTTAACCACGTAAATTTCTGTGTGTCACAATTTTACTTTTCCGCTACGTAATTTTCCTCTTAATTGGTTGAAAGGGCCTTAACAAAGGAGTGGTAATCAGAGCTATGATAACCCAACAATGGTATCAGAGCTGATGGCCTACAAACGTTAATTTTCTCTTAATTGGTTGAAAGGGCCTAACAAGAGTGGTATCAGAGCTGATACCCAACAACTGGTATCAGAGCTGATGCCTAACAAGAACATTACACATGAATCTCCATCAAAGAAGCCAAAGAGACAGAACTTCCCTTAGTATTGGTAAATGGGTTCTACATTCTTTAGTCAGATGGAGTCAACAAATGCCGTGGTTAGAATTTGGAAAAGATTGACAAGGAGATTGCACTCACAGCAGCCATCTACAGGTGCGACATCAGATGTCGAGAAACCAAGAACCATAAACTCTTGTTCAATTTACTATTTCTCAGATTTTCTGATGATATTGAAGATAAAAGATGATCTAGTGACTGATTGGAGGCATCAAAGAAGGTTGTCCCAACTAATGTTGGCCGTATGGCCGAAAGTTAGGGAGGCAAGTTTGGATTGACAGAATATAAAGCCTTAGTAGAACACAAACAGAGCAATCCTGAACAATACATCAATTCAAAACTAGTGCACATCATCAAGATACAAAAGAGCTACAAAAACACACCAATTCCATCATAATACTAAAATTATTCAGTAACAGAACGAACTTAGATAAATAGCTCATATAGGAAAAACATGTGGGATCTCGGAAAAAAAGCAGACAGAGATTTGAGAAGGTACGAGCACAGACGATAAAGTTTACTAACCATATTCGATTAGGAACCAACAACACAGTCGCAGTGAACGATGACTGTTTAGGGTTAGTACCGTATAATCGCCTTATAATCCTTCATTCTTCCCCTGCCGTAGGAAAATAAAAAATGATACCAAAAATCTTGGCACAGATGAAGGCCGATAAGGTGGCTCCTCATGTCTCTACATACAATATTCTGATGAAAATTGAAGCTAATGAACACAACATTGAAGGGTTGGTGAAGGTATTTGGCGAAATGAAGAAATTCAATGTTCAGCCGAATGAGATATCTTTCTGCATATTAGCTACGCCGCATGCTGTTGCCAGACTGTATAGCTGAAGCATACGTTCAAGCTGTGGAGAAGTGCCGCACGGGAGAGAACTGGTCAACTCTAGATGTTTTGATTATATTGTATGGATATTTGGGGAAGGTGAAAGAATTAGAGAGGACTTGGGGCATTGTGCACGAACTCCCGCATGTTAGGTTTAAAGGTTATATGTTGGCAATTGAAGCATTTGGTAGAATTGGGCAGATCGGTCGAGCTGAAGAGCTTTGGTTAGAGATGAAATCATTAAAAGAGTTGAAATCATCAGAGCAATTCTATTCCATGTTATCTGTGTACTGCAAATATGGGCTTATTCAGAAGGCGACTGCAATTTTCAGGGAAATGGAGATAAATGGGGGCAAACCAAATGCCATTACTTATCCACATCTTGCCTTGGGTTGTTTGAAGGCCGAACTAGTGGAGGAAGCCTTGAAAGCTCTAGAAAAGGGGATGCAATTGAAAACAAGCAATAAGGTAAGGAATTCGACGCCATGGTTGGAGACTACTCTTGCAATTATTGAAATTTTTGCAGAGAAAGGTGATATAGTTAATGTTGAGAAATTGTTTGATGAAATCGTTTGATGAAATCAGCAAAGCAAGGTATACAAGACATGCTTTTGTGTACAATACACTAATAAAAGCTTATGTGAAGGCCAAAACTTATGTTCCCGGTCTCCTGAGAAGGATGATTTTAGTGGGTGCCAGGCCAGATGCTGAGACTTACAGCCTGATTAAATTCATTGAGCAGTATCGAACTTGATTTTGTACTAGAGTTTATATGTTGTATATTTTGATATATTATTCATTTTCCTTAACAGAAAAATGTTTTTCAAGATTATGAAATAACATTTCTTGTTTCTTAAATGGTCATTCCAGGTCAGATTTAGGCCAGAGTGAAACAAGGCATTCGTTCTCTTTACTGTTCAAAACTTTTTGCCAAGCAAAAATCCTAAATGATAAACAAAGTGATAAACATAGTAGCCAAAAAAAGGAAATAGACATCGCTATTCCCACTACTAAACCGGAGCCTGAGAAGTTCTTGAGGAAGAATTAGAGGTTTTGGTTGCATCATCTGTGCGGCATTACAATCACTGCTTGGCTTTGTGGTTCAGCAGTTAATTTGTAATACTTCAGTACAAGTAATAGCAAGTTAATTTGATTAAGTAATAGTAGAAATAGAAATAAATATATATATTCAAAATACTCTGTTATTACAAGTTAATTTGTTGACTACATCAAAAATTGTATTCAAATGTCAACATAGATTCTCGTTAATAAAATCTAAAAATATCAAGAAAAAGGTAATATTCCCTTATTGACCAAATAAAAAAAAAAAAGAAATTTAAACGAAGGAATTGCATCTAATTCTGAATTCCACAACCAACCAAATATGGCTCAGTTCCTTCTTCCCAGTAGAAATTTAACCTTACCCGGAAAGGCCATGCCAGCCACAAAGATGCATGTATATGCAAAACCTGTTACTTTGTTAGAAATCCATCACTTCTATATATAACCACATTGTACTTGAATGCAAGACAAAGCTCAGTGATAGAAACAACAGAATAACTCTTCAACAACAGTACCAAGAAACACGAAAAATAATGGCAAAAAATATAAACTCACCCCTGAATTTTATGACTTTAATCTAGTAGCACCCTTAACTTTGAGGGACATCTATTATGTCTTTAAAATTACAAGTTTTAGTAATATTGGAACAATAATTCACATTTTCCAACCATCTAATAAGTGTTTATCTAATTTTATTAGTTAAAATGTTCAATAAAATGCTTTTGCAAGTTGAAGCGTTTAATAGTTGTATTTTATAAGTTGAAATATTAGATAACGTTACCATATGATTAAATAATAAAGTTCAGCAGTGAATTTAAATATTTGGCCCAATAATGGATATATGTACATACTAATAAAATAGGAATTCAACATACCAAAATTCTCAAGCTCTAGGAACTAAAACATCCCAATTTTATAAGAATTAAAAGGCAAATATACCCATATGTCATTCCTAAGCTATACATGCTAAATATGAGTATAGGGTTCCATTTGAATGGTTTTTCAATTTAAATACTTGCTATTTGAATTGGAAATCATATTTGATTTTTCGTAATCTACACTTGGAAACAAAAATCTAAATCACATTCATTTAAATTGCCTAGGGCTGAGAATCTTGTCTTATTCTTCTATATTCAATCATTCTCAAATAGTAAGATGCTTTCATTGCAAAAATCCAGACTAACTGAATACAGTACCTATCCCATGAAAATCAATTATTGCATATGTTACCATAATTTAAGTTACAAAAATTTCAATATTTCATTTTTTTTTTTTTTAGCTTACTCTGTAATTAAATTTAGAAGGGGTAATAACTACCCACTGCTTAACAAAAGGCAGAAATAGATGTTCATCACAAGCATCATCAACCCATTTTGCAAATGCAATTTCCTGAATAATAAATTAGCAAATTACTTTTCAGTTTCAATAATTCACTTTAACACTCAGTTCTAGTCATAAGGCAGAACAAGTTAATCTCTTTCCCTAAAAATAAACCAAACTTAATAGACATAAATACAAGTGCAGATTTCTCCTTTCTTCTACCAAGTTCAAATTGTAAAAGGAACTACAATTTCCAAAAACAAAAGACCAAAATTCAACTTCCATAACACAAAGGGTTCCAATTCCAAACCACAATAAAGGATTAAGATCTCTAAATTCAATAAGGGGCTCAAAAACACACTTAAAGACTATCACAGGAATCAAACAGTCATAAGACAAATAGATGAAAAAGGCTAAAATAACATGGTATTAGACCAATATCATCCAAATATACACTACAACATATAACTAAAGAACAAGAAACTAAATCCCCAAATACAAAATAACTTTTTTTTCGGAATTAAAAGGTCTACTTATCTTTAGTAGAAACTCCATACTTCTCTTGCATCCTAGCAATCTCCTCCTCTTTCTTCTTCTGATCAAACTTCTTGCTCATCTTCGCCTGTTGATAATACAAAACAATCAAATACCTATTCGCGACATTAAAACCCGACAAGTGGTCCACCGCTGTTTTGGCATCGTAGATATCTTCATACACTACAAAGGCGGTTCCTCTGGTATCCTTGTTCGTTCCGATTCGGATTTGGCGAATCGCACCATATTTACCGAAAATATCGTACATCTCCTCACTTGATATGTTGAACGGAAGGTTTCGCACGTAGAGGACTCGGTTTACCTCCGGCGGAAGACGGGTGTTGCCCTTGCGGAGACTGATTGTGGCCATGGGGAACGTTCCGATTCGGATTTGGCGAATCGCACCATATTTACCGAAAATATCGTACATCTCCTCACTTGATATGTTGAACGGAAGGTTTCGCACGTAGAGGACTCGGTTTACCTCCGGCGGAAGACGGGTGTTGCCCTTGCGGAGACTGATTGTGGCCATGGGGAATTTTGGTAGGAACCGACCGTGCTTGGTTGCTGAGAAAGTGAGGGAAAGATAGTTCCAGAGACAACGGTGAGCAGGACTTTATTTATAGTTGAGGTCAAATTGGGATTTTGATTATGACTTAGGGGTAATTGTGTCATTGGGATCTTGTGAGAGGGTAGTAAAAAATTATAAGAAAAAAAAAACAGAGACCTCATCTTTGTATAATGTACTGTAACAAGTATTACTAAACAAATTACTAATTACTAATATATTTATATATGTAAGACGCGTGAAGAATTTACGGTTATGGTAACAGTAAATTGACAATGTTGCCCATTAGTAATATCAACTCTCAATAACAGTAAATTGTCTTTTCCGGCGATGGACCAATTAACGGCCTGAAACTTTCAATGTGCCTGTACATTCTCTCATCATCTGTTGTTAAAATGCGCTAAGCGTGTAAATTGCTCGAAATATTTTAATCCAAATCAAAATTTTAAATTAAATATTAACTTGCAATGAAATTTTAGAATATATAATTTAAAATAGAATGTAATTTTTAAATATTGATATACAGAATATGAAACCGAAATAAAAAAATAAATTTTTTTATTCCAATTCATATATTAAATTTTTATTTTATTATTATTTAGTTTGTAATTATATGTTTTAAAATAAAATATTAAATTAAAGATTTGAATAAAATATCTTTAATTTTTAATTTTTTAAAGAAAATTTCTATTTAATTTTGAAACTACATAATTTAATAGAATATTTTAACTTTAACCTTAATTAGTAATTAATATATACTATGTGCTTGAATACTCATATATATTTTTTTGGGTTGAAAATCATGATTGTAATTATAATATCTTATCTTTTATTAAATTATATGGTTTGAAATATTTTAGTATGTTTAGACTCATAATATATGTTTTTTTATAGATTTAACACTTTTTGATGGATCTGGTGACTACATATATTGATATATCCTAATGTGAATGACATTATCTTTTGTTGATTTTATAATAATAATATTTTTTTTTTGAAAGAATAATATTATTATTAATTATTAAGATGTTATTACATGAATTTAGTTATTAAATGTTAAGGGTGAAATATACCTACTATATATATAAACATGTAAAATTTTTATTTAGTTATATGTGATATTAATTTATTATTTTAAATGTTAAGGGTGAAATATACCTACTATATATATAAACATGTAAAATTTTTATTTAGTTATATGTGATATTAATTTATTATTTTTTAAAAAATTGATTATGTCTTTTTAGTTTGTATATAAAAATATGGTGATCATTCCTTTTTAGATTTAAAAATTTACATCTTAAAAAATATGTCATTTTAAATAAATTCCTTTTATGTTTTTTTAATTATATTTCTGCCACTTAAAAAAAATGTGAAACAATTATCAATAATATGACTAATAATTACTTGTTTCCCACACAAACTTTTTTTTTATCTTCCTTAATTATATTCATACCACTTAAAAAAAAAAAAAATCTCTATACGTACTACATGCTGTGTAAATTGTACAATATTTTGTACTGACTCAACTCAAGCATCAATATGTATATCTATGCATTTCTAATTTCATTTAATTGAAAAAAATATAATCAGGTAGTAACAAATATTTTAACCAAACTATATAAGAAGTAGCAATAATAAAATGTATAAATACAATATGATTTTTTACATAATTCTGTGAACATATTAGTGTTAATTAATATTATATTTATAATGCTATTTATAAGTTGAAATTATTATAGATAAAGTCAACAAACATGAATTATTATAAAATACTATATTTCATTATAATGGCAAAACTTTAAATTAAATTAAAAAATAATACAATTTATGATAATACTTGAATTTTTATATTTTTCTTAAATTTTTGTTCTCTTATGTTTTGAAAGGTATATATTATGCTTTTTAGTATCTAAATAAAGAATTATTACATAAAGAATATTATATAAATTTTATTTTAAAACAAACAATTAAGATTAAAAATCTTGGTAATATAATTTTACAAATAATTCTAAATAATTGTAGAATTATTTGTAAAGTTACTTCGACAGGATGATCCTCTTTCTCCTTACCTGTTCTTGTTTTGTACAGATGTTTTCTCTAGTCTTATTCGCTGAATGGAGAGAAATCATAATCTTCATGGGATAAGTCTTTGTAGAGGGGCACCCTAGGTTTCTCCCCTCCTTTTTGCAGATGATAGCATAATATTTGGGAGGGCATCAACTATGGAGGGTAATTCAATCAGGATAGTTCTCGCGTGACTATAAACGTGCATCGGAGCAGAAAATAAATTTGGAGAAATCTGAGATTTCCTTTACTCCAAATGTATCGATTGGTCAACAGAATTCAATTATGGGTCTACTTGGGTTCAAAGGCGTTGCAAACCATTCCAAGTATTTAGGGCTACTGTTGGTGATTGGGAGGAAAAAGAAGCTGATGTTTAGCAACCTAGTGGACAAAGTTGCGAAAAAACTGAAAGGCTGGAAAGAAAGATTACTGTCAAAAGCTGGTAAGGAAATCCTGTTGAAAGTAGTGGTGCAGGCTATATCAACATACATGATGAGCCGTTTTCTGTTACCTAAGGAGATTTGCCATCAAATGGAGAGTGTTATGGCTCGATTTTGGAGTGGTCAGAAACAGAAGGAGCGTAAAATTTACTGGGCAAAATGGTCGATGCTTTGTAAATCCAAGTCGATGGGTGGAATTGGTTTTCGTGATCTGCACGCTTTTAATTTGGCTATGTTGGCTAAACAGGCTTGGAGATTATGCTAGGGTTCTCATTTGCTTCTAGCTCGGTGTTTGAAAGCACGGTACTGCCCTAGGTGTCGGTTTATGGAAGCACGAGTTGGCTGTCAACCTAGTTTTGTTTGGCGTACTATATGCAATGCTAGATGGTTAATTGATCAAGGATCGAGTTGGCTTGTGGACAACGGTATACAGATTTATTCGTATCTGGAAAGACAAATGGGTTCCATCTATTCAAGGATTTCATGTGCGTTCTCCTCCCTCTATTTTTGATGTAAATGATAACTTCAGTAATCTTGTTGATCAGGAGTCTTCGTCATGAAGAATGGATTTATCATATGAGATATTTGTGCCAGCTGAAGTGGAGGCTATTAGTCGCATCCCACCAAGCCCCAAACGTAGCATTGATGTGCTTATTTGGTCAGACAACAAGAATGGCAGATTTACTATAAAATCTACTTACTATCTGGCGCTTGAAAACACAGTCCGGGAGGAGGGTGAACCGTGGACAAGTAGGGATGGGGAGCGATTTTGGAAAAGGGTGTGGCATCAGAAAATTCCACCCAAAGTAAAGCATTTCATTTATAGGGCCTATCTTGATCTTCTTCCATCTAAACCAAACCTGTTTTTACACGTGGTGTGGAAACTGAACCATGGTGCCCTCGCTATGGTGAAGGGGGTAGAGACATTAACACATGTCCTCATTGACTGCCAGGTAGCCAAGGAAGTTTGGTTATTGAGTCCATTACGGTTGAGAGATGAAGCAGCCAGCTATGGTTTCAGGATAAGATGCTGAGTTTCAAGGATGCCCAAGCTGAAGTCTTATGATGATTTTATGGTCACTGTGGCAAGCAATAAATGTATCTATTTTCTAACAGGACTTCATCAGTCCCGGCGATCTTGCAGCAGACACTGAGTCTTCTATTTGATTTTACGGGTGCTGTCAGTCCTTCTGCAGCTCGCATGATAGCAGTATGGTCTCCACCTCCTCAAGGTTTATCAAAGTCAACTCTAATGCAGTGATCTATGAGAATGGTTGTGTCGGTTTCGGGATAGTCTGCAGGAATGCTGAGGGAGCTGTAATGGCTTCGGGGATGAGGAGAATTCATAGTCTTTGCTACCGAAGTAAGCAGAAGTTGAAGCTGCTTGTTTGCCGTCCAGAAAGCTGGAGAACTAGGCTTTAATAATGCGATTGTCTTTCCTTGGTGCAGTGCTTGATAAACTCAAGCTTCCATTTCTCTGAACTTGGCAACCGATTGCTCAACTTGAAGATGTTAGCCGACTCCTTCCCTTCTTTCAACTGTGTCTTTAGTGGTAGGGAATGTAATAAGGTAGCACAATATTATCTTGCTAAGGAAGCTCTGACCCTTTCCATGGATGAGCTTATTCTCATTGAAGAGGTTCCTTCCTCTCTAAATATTTTTGTGTCTCTGGACCTTAATTCTTAGTTATAAAGTTTCAGTTTATTCTAAAAAAAGAAAAAAGTAGTTATAAATAATAAATTACATTTAGCTACTATTTCATATTAAAATTTCATAAAAGAAGAATTAGTACCAACAATATATTGTTAGGAAAATTAAAAAGTAAATATATTTACGACATTAAAAAATAGTTTTTATTATTAAAAAACTTATTAATCATATCCTCACAAATATAAACTAGGTCAATATTTTTTTAGTCAATTTATATATTTTCTCATATTCATACATTTATAAATATTATAGATAATCAAATACCTTACTATAACTACTTAATGTTTTGTCGAAACAATAATAAAATAGTATTCTTTTTGACCGAAAAATATAAAAAAAATTGACAAAATGATATACTATTATAACAAACGGACAAAATTATGTATTTCTAAAAATACAAGAGGCAATATTATATATTAAAGCAAAATGCAGGGACCAAATCATAATTTTTCCTAAAAAAAAATAAAAAAAGCAACAATATATACTTCTAAAAATGATTTTTGTTTGGTTTGAAGTCCATTCCCTTGCTAATCTACAGGCACCATATTAGGATAATTATGACCTAAATTAGGCATTATTCTTTTTTTTTTTTTTTTCTTTTTTCCTCAAGTTTTTTAATTCACCTGTCTTAGTCTGACTAATTCAAAATTCTAGACATCTATCGTTCATTATGGTTGATTTTGCGTAAAAAAAAAAAAACAAACATTCTATTGGTAGGAAAGCAACTGTCTTCCTCATTGTCCATGAAGCCAATGCTAAATTCCCGGAAAATAGGCAATTTAATTGAGAAATTCTTTTAATTAATCAGATTCAAAATCTTCATATTCATACCTGCCTCTCCTTGCTCTCCTTGTCCCCATGGAAAAGCGGGAGGTAAAGCATTCTTACTTTCAGAAAAAAATTCTAAACGAAACCTTAATTTCAAACAAATTAATATTTGTGGTCGAGTAAAATAATTATTCAAGGCTGTGTCACATTTCTCAGTTCCCTTGTTTTTGGTTAAGATTTCTCACATAATTTCTCTGCTGACAGAAAAATGGCTGGACATCTGTTCCTCAATTCGGTGCATGGGATCAAAAGGATCCGGGAGCTACCAACTATTCCGTGGTATTTTCACAAGCTCGAGCTAATAAGAAGCAGCAAAAAACAGATATCAAACATCCCGGTATTGGATATCAAAGAGTGGTAATTGCTCCTACCACACAGGATGATTCAGTCTTGGTAAGTTTTAGATTTCTATATCTCTACTATCTGTTCCTCAATTCGGTGCATGGGATCAAAAGGATCCGGGAGCTACCAACTATTCCGTGGTATTTTCACAAGCTCGAGCTAATAAGAAGCAGCAAAAAACAGATATCAAACATCCCGGTATTGGATATCAAAGAGTGGTAATTGCTCCTACCACACAGGATGATTCAGTCTTGGTAAGTTTTAGATTTCTATATCTCTACTTGGAATACCATTCCTGCTTTGGAACAGAGGAAGGAATAATAAAGGACAGAAAATACAGAGAATTAACAGCAAAAGTTATCAACAAAAATGTGATATTCTGTTTGTTATTGCTATGCAGAGGAAAAAGAAGATCTTGACCTACATTAATTGCTGTATAAAGCCTTGATTATCTGGGAATTTCAAACCTCCACCGAGTAATCTCCAATGAGTTTTACAGTATTAGAAACAATGTTTTGGCCTGTAAATCTACAGATGAGATATATTTATAAGTAGATGTTTCGTTTGGGAACTTCTGTAACATTTTGTTCTGTTACGTTTTATTTATATATACATATCCAGTTTCTACATAGTACAATAATCTGATTTGCATCTGCCCAATATTGGAAGAGGAAAAACAGGAAATCTTAAAACTGGCTAAACCAGAGTTTTATCGGTTAACATCCATAATTTTTTACAAGGAGGGATCACAACATTGGAAGAATTATTTCTCCAACGAGTCTCAGTGTCATGTATAGTTTACCTATGAATCTGCAGCTTAAGTTGAAGATTTAAAACGATTTACTGGGGCATTCAGGGAAGAAATGTATGAAGCATCTGCCTTGTCAATTCCGCTGAAGAGGTAACTGAAAGGGCGCATTTCTATGTACTTACCGGAACCAGGCGAAACCTTCAGTTCATCATTTTCCCAAACAACTCGTCCTCCAGAAATTGTCACTTCAACCTTTCCCTGAGGAAAAACCAAACATAAGCATTGAAACACAACATGAAACACTCAGCACACTAGGAGGCATGGACGTGAGCATAAACAAGCACAAGAAGGCTTGGAAGGGCCATTTGCTGGTATGAACATCGTTGGTTGAAGTTTATAGTTTCATAAAAGGCATATTAATTACATATATGATGACCTATGCACAGGTTTTCAATCCATCCATGAATTAATATCATCCAGCAACTGAATGGCAAGTCCCATTCTTGAGGAAGCATAAGTACTGTTTTTGTTTTGCTGACGTGGCTCATGATTTTGCATTATATACTCATGCATATATGTGTACGGCCGCGTGTGTGAAACGAAAAGTTTTCCCCTGCTAACATTGCATTTATACAAAAAGTTTTCATTGAACTATGCCTTTAATAATATTACCAATTTCCTTAATTTCATTGAAAAGATTTATACGCATGCACGATATTTAATTACATGTTTCACAGGGTTTCATGAATTCACTTTATTTACTAAAAATTCTGATTAAATTTATTAAAAATCAAATATTAGTCTAAAAAGAAGAGATATCAAAGGTTTTGAATTTTGATTACATGAATTTCCAACCTCATAAAATATGAGGTTTCATGAGAGCGAGTGAGAGAAAGAGAGAATTAAATTGTAATTTTCAATTATAACAAGGTGATGCAATTAAACATCACGTCTTGAGATAAAAGAGAAAGTTCAGATTTTTTTTCTGTGTCTTTCTTTTTCTCTTTTTTTTTCCTTCTCTGTATGATCATTTATATAAATGCTAAATCAGCATGAAACTTAGATAATACTATATAATGCCAAGACAGTGGAAAAACACTTCTCATACTATTTTAGCATTGGCAGATCCTTTTTAAAGAATCACCAGATAAAGTTGATACAAATGCCAAAGAGCAAGAAATAAATTGATAAAAATTCAACATTAGATCAGATCAAGATTTATAATACTATTAACCCTAAAAACTAAATAGCATATCAGAGCCCCAGGGAAGCGATTTTATTTCAATTTTGTCTTATTCTTGACAAGCCCATTTAGATTTTTCAATTACATCTTGTGTTTGACAACCTAATGTAGACAAACTTTAAAAGGAATTGATTCGGTAGACCAGACCAGACATAGTTGCAAAATTAAAAAATATAACGTATGCAAGAGGACCCAGCATACTTGGTCTGGAAGTTTCAGATAAACAAAAAGGAAAAATCATGGGCTTCATAGGATAGTAATGCATTAATATTTTCCAAGACTAATTAGAGTCATACCAGTTCAAGGCGCCACTCAAACAACTGCCAGCAATAATTTTAATTTCATCTCTTATCAATAGAAAGAAAATTACTAGATCATAAAGCTCAACAGAAAAAAAACTACTAGATCATAATGAAAATAATTACCTTCCCTCTCCTACCCTCATAGACATTTGTATCTGTTCGGGAGTGATGGGACCTTGCACTAATTTCAAAGCTTGAGTTTGGGTTGAGTATAATTATATCTGCATCTGATCCAGCAAGAATTGCTCCTTTTCTTGGATATATATTGAAGATCCTAGCACTGGAAAATTCACGGAGGTCAAAACAGTTTACTTACTTCAGGAAACCTTTACAGAAATTGTCATAAAATACTGTCACCCATGCAGTTTTAATTTTTTCTGTAAACAACATTCACATAGAGGTCATAGGCTGGCCCAAGGAATCACTAACATACCATTCAGTGCTCGTTACCCGGACAAAATCAGTGACAGAAATTTGGCCAGATTCCTGAAAGACAAGGAGAATTGGATTGGGTGGAATTCATATCATCTATTGAGAAGGATTAATCATGAGGTCACAATAGCTTACCACCATTGTATCCCAAAGCAGATGCATCCTCTCCTCAATACCTGTATTCCAGATGGCCCCCCAAAAAAAAACCCTTAAATTGAGATGAATGAGGGCATATATTCGGCTTGGGCCACATCAAGACCATTTTTTCTTACCATTTACCCCATTTGGGATTTTCCTGAAATCATCAATCCCAAAGGCTTTCTGTGTAGAATTAAATACGCAATGATCAGTTCCTACAAGCTGCACGATATATAGATTATCAGGAGGAATGTATTTATGTGATCTGCTAAACAAAAATAATAACAAGGATGCCTTAGATATTAAGTTACGTTTTTAAGCCATAATGGAATGTGTAATGTAACCAAATACATTTTTTGTTAAAACATTCAACTTAAAATGGACTCAAGTACATTACATTTTTTAACTAAAATGCATTTGATAACATTAAGTTATACTCAACTAAAAACTTACCAAACCCAATCCTAATATTTTGAAAAGCTATCTCACTTATCTCATAACAGTTTTTTTCATGTAAAATGTTGGATGGCAATGTAACTTGACAATATCTTCTTCTTTTGGGTTCAATGAAAGGTAGAGTGGACAGAAAGCATGGATTTGAACTGCTAACTGTCCATATCACACTTTAAAAGGAACAAACCTGCAGAACTCCAGTTGAAAGAGCAGCTTGTAGGGCCTTGTCATGTCCTGATGGCCTAATGGGGGGACTCATGACGTACCTGAAACATTAGGATATAAATGTTTGTTTTACAGCATAAACTGATTAAACCAAATTCCAAAATAAATAAAACTAATAGTGAATGAAGTGCTCTTGCTTTGATGCTGTTGTGAAGTCTGGATCCCAAAGCTTAGAGTCATCAAGAACTAGACCAGAAACCACAGGCTCTCCAATAACCCTCTGTCCTGCAGTTCAAATAAAGTGACTGTCTTACATGTTCTGAACCATGAGAACATATTATTATAATAACAAGAGGCAGTAGAAGTCAGCATTTCCTTTTAACAATTAATCCACACTGGTGAAAAATTATTTCCAAAAAACGTTTCTATATATTATAAAATATCAAACAATTCAACATGTGAGATTCCACATTCTTTATCCAGCCAAACAACATTTACATCATCTTAGACAGCATTTTGATATATTACGGCATCTTGCAATTTTTAACAATCATGTATTCATAAAAATCAAAGAAATAGGCATCTTGCCAATTTTAACAATCATGTATCCATAAAAATCAAAAAATATGCTGGAATTTTCATGGTCACTTTTAAATACTTCTTTGATTCTTTCTATATGGAATATCCGTCCATATAAACTGCAAAATTATATAGCTATCGAAATTTTTGAAAGGGAAACTTCTCAGTGCCATGGTTCCTCAACTAAATTTCTTTATTATCCAATGCTCATAACCTTAGACAGTATTTGATATATTTGACACCTTGCCCAATTTTAATAATCATGTATTCATAAAAATCAAAGAAATTATGTGGAATTTTCTCATATCACTTTTAGGATTACTTCTTATGGCTTCTTTCTATATGCGAATTATTGTCATATAACAGCAGGATTTATTAGTTATCGAACTTTTTAAAAGTAAAACTTTCTCATACATGGTTCCTCAGCTTAATTCCATTATTATCCATGCTCATCGATTTACTACCCAATGATAATAGACCACCTTGAAAAAAAAAATTCAATATGCCATTTCAACCTGACTTCTCGAGCCCTAGCTATCTCCTCCATATGCGCATCGATGCTCATCACATGAACTACCATAGAGTGGAGTATTTGATATAAAACTTGCTAAACGAATGCACGAGCAATTTGCCTCACCTTCCAGCTTTTTTTTCGTACAGCACTACGAGCTATGTTATTACATGAAAGCTATATATGCTGAAGAATCACTAAGGCGGGAAACTGGATAAAAAAGAAAACATTTTTTGTTTCATAGGAATGGCAGAATGGTATCAGGAGATATCTTGACCTATGATTTTAAGAAATTTGAGATGAATGGAAAGTTCATAAAAATCAAAGAAATATGTGGAATTGTCATATCACTTTTGGATACTTCTATGGTTCTTTCTATATGGAATATTGTCATATAACAGCAGGATTATAGTTATCGAACTTTTTAAAAGTGAAACTTTCTCATACATGGTTCCTCAGCTTAATTCCATTATTATCCATGCTCATGATTTACTACCCAATATAATTAGACCACCTTGAAAAAAAAAAATTCAATATGCCATTCAAACCTGACTTTCGAGCCCTAGCTATCTCCTCCATTGCATCGATGCTCATCACATGAACTACATAGAGTGGAGTATTTATAAAACTTGCTAAACGAATTGCACGAGCAGTTGCCTCACCTTCCAGCTGCAGCACTACGAGCTATGTTATACATGAAAGCTATATATGCTTGAAAGAATCACTAAGGGGGAAACGTGGATAAAAAAGAAAACATTTTTGTTTCATAGGAATGGCAGAATGGGTTATCAGGAGATATCTTGACCTATGATTTTAAGAAATTGAGATGAATGGAAAGGTTCACGTGGAAATTTCATCAATGTTCCTACAAAAGTGAACTACTCATTTGCTAATTACCACCATGGACTTCAGCAATCTATTTCAAAGGAAGCCTATATGGACAATTACTCTCACGTAGGAATTCAAAGAACTTTCAACAGTTCCAGAATTTTAACAATAAGGCTGATGGCATAGAAATGAACAAAGAAAATCTGGAAGGCGATGTAAATTCAGAAAGCTGGATAAGATTGAAGTTTACCACTGGAGGTCTTGAAAGAGCATGCCCCTCTGGACCAGTAATACCCAATTCTATCATTCGTTTTTGCCCTTCAAATACAGCATCTCCATTTTCTGCATGAACCATAGCTAAGGCACCAAGAGATTTGCACTGCTTAAGTCCTTCTAATAGAAGATCATCATTGATCATAAGGGACCCCTTGTATGCCATGAAAAACTTGAAAGAGTTGATACCTACAAATTCCAAGTGTATGCACAAATTATTGAAAACATATAAATAGTGAGAAATGAATCATAATCCTCCCAAATCCAAAATATTCAAATTAGAAATTAAAAGTAACAACCATTTTCCTTCACCATAATTTCCATTTCCCTTGAAACAACTTCATCCCATTTGGTGACTGCCATGTGGAAACCATAATCCATGCAAGACTTCTTTGCCTTCTTTTTATAAGCTTCAAAACCTGCCACTAAACTGCCATTCAAGGGTATAACGAAGTCAATATGCATGGTTGTTCCACCTGCTAAAGCTGCAGCCTGACCACTAAAGAAGTCATCAATAGTCTCAGTGCTCATGAACTCCATAGCCAGATGTGTGTGAGGGTCAATTCCTCCTGTTAATATTTTCAGAAAAAATGCAGTCATACAAAGGGAACATCTTATTTAATATTACTGGAATTGAAAATGATGTTAGATGAAGTATTTTAAGCATGATGCCATGGATTGGAATTACTTAATCATTTCTACAGTTAAGAAGAGACCCCAAGGATTTTCGTTACATTAAAAAAAATGCAGCACCAATCAACCAACCAATCATAATATGACAACTAACCGGGCATGACAAACTTTCCAGAGGCATCAATCACATAAACATCATCACCAACCTGCCAACCACAATCAAAAAATTCAAATGTAAATGATAAAGAGCAAAAGAACATGGGGAAGAGTAAATACCAGGCCAATAATGAGCAAGAAAGAGCTGGCTGACTGAACACCAAAGAAGGGGCATGGATAGATATTCCATTCTATGCAGAGCAGAAAAGCTATATGCATATCATATGGACATTCTTGGCTACAGACTTCAACCATAAGAAGTTCAAAACTGAACCATCCTGGAAATCTACTTTTATAGCAGGTTGGGAAGGGTTAATTTCATTTGATTCAAAGTTTACCAAAAATTCAGATAAAGTTGTTAAAGAAACATGTCCAGTGGCTCTGCCTAAACAACTTATATCGTTTGCAATAACGGGCCAATTTCCTGTCCACCTATCAACTGTCAAAATTGTAACAGTATCAAATTCAAAAAGAAGAATGATAAGATCAAATCCCCAGAAATTAGACCCAGTAGTGCCAAAGCTTTACTGTCAACTGATGTCGTCCGCTAGTCAAATAAGACGTAAAAAAATTCGTCTAGCAAAAAATAAAATATAGAAGAAGAAGTGGGGATCTGTAGATAATAAAAACAGAAAAATAGACCTTGATATTGGGCTTCACAACAACAATGATCCCATCCTCCACAAAAACATCAGCAACCTCTTGTTGGTGAGCATTTACAACGGTTCCACCCTTAATCAAAATCTTCGATGATAAAGATGATGACGGAATCCCACAACCAGCTTCATCATATCCACTCCTAACTTCACAGAACTGAAATTGAAAAAAAAAAAAATACCATAATCAGATAAACAAAAAAGCTCCCTTTATTCCACAAAAGCTAAGCTACTTCCCTGTCCTATATGTCTCGCCACTAACAAAAACAAAGAAACAAACATTTCTACAACTAATTCTCCGAAATGAACCAACCAAGACCCTTTACTTCATTTTCTCGGCATCCAAACAGAACTCTACTCTTTTAATTCACAATCAAAGAAAATAACTGGGAAATCTAAACCGTTTCTTCTTGTATCAGAATTCGAAATCGAAAGAGCAGGCGATAGTTGTAAATACCTGGTTTGAGAGTGAAATCGAAGGAGAAGAAAAGAGAAGAAGTGATAGAAATAGATAGATAGAGTAAGCTGTGGAAGCGGAAGCCATGGAATCTGTAACTAACTGCAACGGATGGTTATTTTGTCTTCGATTGCGTTCTGCATTAATGAACTGTTATTTAAGAATGTCGCGTTCATCAATCGAACGTTGTCAACTTTGAACATTTTGCATTTTTGATTGAAATTTTTTCCTCAGTTATTGTTTATAAAAAAAAGTCAACCATTAAAATTGGAAATTTGATTTTTTATAGGAAAAATTAGAGTACGGTATGTTAGAGAAATGTAACTATCCCTTATCCTTTTATTTTACTTTCTTCATATTACAAGATTCTTTCATTTAATTTTTTTAAATTTTCTATTAAGTATTTTATAAAATAATGAAAATATGCGTCAATAAGGGATAATATTCCAAGGTTATGTAAGCATATTGGGAGCCTTAATGTTCCTTCTAAAATAAGGGATTTTTTGTGGCGGGCTTGTAAAGATGTACTACCCACAAAATCTAACACTGTGAAACGTGGTTTAGCAGTTGATGATCTTTGTTTTTTCTGTCCTCCTAGAGAAGATGATGACCATGTGTTGTGTCATTGTGTTAGGGCAAATACTTGTTGGCGTTTGCTTGGTTTTAATATTTCTAGTGTCACTGCAACTTTTATTGATTTATTTATGCAGTGTTGGGATGGCATTGGACAACAAAAAGCAGAACTATTGGCTTTTTTGGCATGGAATTTATGGAAGGCAAGAAATGAATTTTGCTGGTCCGCAAAATTGATGCAACCCACCCAGATTGCATGCACAGTTTCTACTCATTATATGGAATGACATTCTTTTGTTAATTTAAGTGTAGCTACAGGACAAAGAATTTTACAGGGAAATGGGCCAAGTGTGGGGCCTGTGTTAACTTGGATAATGTTAGTTGGCATGCATTTTGTGATGCTTCAGTATTTCAAAAAGAAGATATAATAGGTGGTGCAATGGTGTTTGAGGATGGTGAAGGTAGGTTCTTGCAAGCTGTGTCTACTCATTCTACGAGATGCAAACCGCTTGCTACAGCTGAAGCTTTGGCTCTTCATTGTACTCTACTTTTTATTGTGATCATTATCAGTCTAGTGGTTATATTTTTGTTGATTGTCAGGTTTTATTTTGTGTTTTGAATTCTCAAATTTTAGATCTTTCGGAATTTGGGATTATTGTGGAAGATTATAAGCAACTCTTAATTGGTACGCCAGATATTCAGATTCAATGGATTCAGCGTACTATGAATGGTGCTGCTCATTCCCTTACTTAGAGCATCCATTCGCTTTTTACCACTTTGTATTTGGGAGAGTGTCCCTAATGTTCTCCTTTCCCATTACATTTAATAAAATAGTGGTCATTTTCTCTTCAAAAAAAAGTAATTATATTTTTCAAATCATAGAAGAAGTAATTGTATTTTTCAAACCATAGAAACTATACTGTGATTTTTCTGATATAATATTTTAGTATCTCTTTTTTTATTTTTGTGTTTTCCTGTTGACTTAACAGGAAAATGCAAAAATTTGACAGAAGAACTAAATAGTATAACAGAAGTAAAATATAAAGATTTAATATATTTTAAAAATGACGTATACGAAGTAGTTTTATTTTGAAAACTATAGTGATCCCACTATATTTTTCCCTTTTTTATAAGAAAAATTAATATTAGGTCTCCATGTATATAGTCAAATACACTAGCCACTTCTTGTTTTTGTCAACATGCATGATTACATTTTTAAATTTTGATCGGTCCAACTCTTAAATCCTTTTGTCAATTTTTAAAATTTTTGCCGTTAATTAATATTAAAAAAATAAAAATACCCTTCATTTAAACTAAAATCATCAAAATTCACCTTTCTCTTCTTAATCATTTAATTGTGATATAAAAATTAAAAATTTATGTAAATAAAATATAAGCCTCATCATCGTTAATGATATTTCAAAAAAATTTAACCCAGTAACCCAAAATGATAAAAATTTCAAATTTGAGAAGATCAAAACCTCAAAATTTTGAAACTGCAGGTCAAAAGTCTACTAAGAAATTCAATTTTTTACACTTTCTTTCACAAATTGGACATGTTTGCTAATGTGCAGAGTCTACTGAAATCCATCACTCACTGTGAGGAAGAGAAATTATAAAATAAAAGAAAAACAAGTGAAGAAAAAAAGGGGAAGCGAGTCTATGGAGATAGAAAAAGCTGTTTTAAAGAATAGATGAAATGAAAATGCTTTTAATAAAGAGCAGTTATCTTTTTTTATATAATTAATGATCAATACACGCAGTGCTCTTTATATAGAGAGCCATTTACAAATACAATCCACTAAATCCCTATAATAATGCAATTATTCAAAATAGCAACAGAAGCCAGATTATTTGGTTAAAGTATGAACTATTACCAAGTCAAGAACCTGCTGCACAAAGATATCAGATAACCAAATATATTCTTGTTGTGAAAAACAGGAAAATATTAGTCAACCTTATAACCCCAGATACAAATATATTCTTGTTGTGAAAAATAGGAAAATATTAGTCAACCTTATAACCCCTTTGACAACCTTATACCACCATATTTTCCGTTAACAGGTTTTATTTAATTTGCACAATCACACTTAACACCTTATATCAGCTGTGATTGCTAACATCCCCCCTCAAACTTGGCCGGGGTTTGAGGCGAAGTTTGCTCCGAAAATTTGCAGGAGCAGATTTATGAATTGGTTTAGTGAAGATGTCAGCTACCTGTTGAGTTGTGGGAATGTACTTAGTTACAAGAAGTCCTTGTGCAACACGTTCTCGAACAAAGTGATAGTCCAACTCGATGTGTTTGCTTCGTGGTTTGCTTCGTGCATGGAAAACGGGATTGATAGTGAGATAGAGAGCACTAAGATTATCACAAAACAAAATTGGAGGAACTGTAATGGGAATCGAGAATTCTTTGAGCAAATATGTAAGCCAGGTAAGCTCAGCAGTCGTGTGCGCCATGGCTCTATACTCTGCCTCCGTACTCGATCGGGAGACCGTGTGCTGTTTTTTTGCACACCAAGAAATCAAATTGGAGCCGAGGAAAGTGCAGTAGCCTGTGGTGGATCGTCTAGTGACCGGACAGTCGGCCCAATCAGCATCAGCAAATCCTTGAAGCGTTAAGGTGGAATTGGAAGTAAAGTGTAATCCATGATCGAGAGTGCCTTTCACATAGCGGAGAATGCGGTGCACAAACTTCATATGAATGACCGTCGGATCGTGCATAAACTGCGAAACAAAGTTAACACTGAAAGCAATGTCAGGACGTGTTAGAGTGAGATATTGTAAAGCACCAACAATGCTAACAATGCTACGATATAAAGTGGCATCAACTGAAGCAGCAGCCTTGGTAACTGGCGGTTGAAGCTCCAAGGGTGTCGACTTGGGCTTACTATCGATCATACCAAATCTGTCAAGTAACGTTAATGCATAGTGAAACTGATTCAAGAGTAAACCATCAGACGTATGAGTAACTTCAATGCCTAAAAAATGATGCAACTGTCCTAAATCTTTCATGGCAAATTCCTTACATAATAACTGAACAAACCCATCAAGTAAAACAGCGAAAGAACCTGTTAGCAACATATCATCGACATAAATTAACAATGCAATCATTCCTTTGGAGGACTGAAATATGAACAGAGACGGATCAGCTAAGCTGCACACAAACCCATACGAAACCAAAAACCTACTCAACCGATCAAACCAAGCGATCAAACCAAAGCTCGCGGCAGCTTGTTTCCAAACCATACAATGGCTCTTTTCAGTTTACAGACATAATTTGGAAACTGAGAATCTATCATACCTGAAGGTTGAGCCATGTAACATGAAGGTTGAGCCATGTACAAATCCTCTGTAATATGTCCATGCAGGAATGCATTTTTCACATCTAATTGCCTAATCTACCATTTACGAACCAAAGCAATAGACAAAACAAGACGTATTGTACCTGGTTTTATTACTGGAGAGAACGTTTCTGTAAAATCTTGACCATCAACCTGATGAAAACCTTTCGCTACCAGCCGTGCTTTCAACCGATCTAAGTCACCATCTGATTTGAGCTTGGCCTTGAAGACCCATTTAGACTCGATGACATTCATGTTTGGATGCCTTGGAACCAAAGTCCAGGTTTCATTTTTATGAAGAGCAGCTATCTCCTCCTCCATAGCATGCTTCCAACCAGGATGTGCCAGAGCTTGTCTGACTGTTCGAGGTTCTTTTAGAATGGATGAATCGACAGTTGTAAAAAGAGCATACCTGGGATTAGGTTGAACAATGCCTGATTTTGATCGCGTCACCATCGAATGTTGTGGTGCAGAAGGATCATTGTGTAAGTTTTCTGCCACAACTCCAGCTTGCCGAACTTCCTCTTGGTGTACGGACTGAACAGAACCACCTGATGTGGGTGACTGCGAACCGTCGAACGGACTAGGAGCTGCAGGTGAATTGGGTGGTGGAATTGGGTGGTGTTGTATCTGAAAACATCGGCATATTGTGAGAAGAAATTGAATCCGCTGGGGTTGCACTAGATTCCGATTGGGATTGAGGGGCGAATATGACGTCAGCTGGTGAATTTAGGGACTGTGGTGGTGAATTCGATGGCGACATAGGCGATGGTTGAGATGAAATCGGGCTATTTGCTGAATTCATAGGTGTTAATTAAGGTGGGACGGTGGCGAGTGATAAAATACCAGGTGTAGGCAGGGGTATTGTTGAGATTTGTTGAGATGGGTTGCTCTGTGTGTGGCTCAGTAGTTTTTGGGGTAGTTGTCCAGTAGTCTATAATTTTACCAGCTTGATTAATGACATCTGTACCTATACTGGACTTGTAAGGAAAACATTCTTCATCAAAAGCAACATTCCTGGATATTATATATTTTCGATTATGAATGTCAAAGCACCTGTACCCCTTATATTTTTCACTGTAACCTGCAAAAATACAGACAATAGATTTAGGATCAAACTTTTTTTTTTTTTGAGTCCCACATATACGGAAAGCATTTACACCCAAAGACACGTAGAATGGAGTAATCAGGATGTTTTTTATGTAAGGCAAAATACGGTGACTTAAAGGAAAGAGACGACGACGGTAACCGATTGATAAGAAAAACAACTGTTGCAAAAGCATCCATCCATAACGACAAAGGAACACGACTATGAAATAACATAGACATTCC